AGAAAAATCCCAGGGAGCCAAACAACTGGAAAGAAGCTCTGCAGAGAAGCAACTGAGAATTCCTGGTCAACACCAAGCTGAATGTGAGCCAGCAACACAAACTTGCAGCAAAGAAGGCCAATGGCATCCTGGACTGCACTGGAAAAGCAGCAGCAGCAGACTGAAAGTGCTGATCTTTGCTCTCTGCCATGTTTGGATGATAAATCTGCTGCTGGGCTCCTCGATATACGAAAGACATGCTGGAGCCAGTACAGCAAGGAGCCATAAATACAGAAATGGGACGGGAGTACATCATGTGAGATAAGGCTGAAAAAGTGGGGACTGTTAAGCCTGAGGAAAGAAGACCCAGAAGGATTTTTGCCTGTATAAATTCCCAGTGGGGAGGATTAAACAGACAGAGCCAAACTCTTCCCAGAGTTACACAGTGTCTGGACCAGAAGCAATGGACACAAACTGAAACACAGGAAGTTCCATCTGAATTATTACTGTGAGGGTAGCTGAACACTGGAAAAGACTGTCCAGAGAGGTTGTGGAGTCTCCATCCTTGAAGATATTCCAAAGCCACCTGCATTTGGTCCTGGGCTACCTGTTGCAGGTGGCCCTGCTCTGAGCAGGGGGTTGTACCAGAAAATATCCAGAAGTAAAATAATTTCATCGTGGATTTGTACACTCAAGTGTCAGGATCAGAGCTGGCATTGCCAGGAAGAGGTGTAAGGTAATATTTAAACAGTCTTTCTGGTGATTCAAGGAGCTTAAAATACCCATACACACAATAAGCAACCTACACTCTGCTCCCTGCACCGCCATAGGGTCTGAAACATGGTAGTTCCAAACTGCTTTAAGCCTCCATTCCTCCTGCTCCATCACAGAGAAAGTAAGATTCATGCAGCCATGGTAAGAATAAATAAGAGGGAGGTTGAATCAGAGGAGAGTCTTTGTACTGTTTATCTACTTCATCCTTTAATTCCTTGGTGCCAAATGTACAACCAGTTTCCAGAACTCTCAATTCCTCCACTGTTTCTCAGTGGTATTAAAGATAGGCTTTCAACCTTTCATCCTAAAGATAAGATAAAGACAGCCTTCCTCAAGATGGCCCCTTTCCTCTCACTTTTATTTCCGGAAAGTGGCCCAGTTTCAAGAGAAAGGAGGAAGAATGATCCTACCTCTTCCTTCCCTGCTTTTTATGGAAGGGCAATTATTATTGGGGACTTACAAAATACAGGCTGAGAAGGTCTTGGAACTGTACTTCCTCCTGTTACCCATAAGTACTATACAAAATAAGGATGGCAGCAGCTGCCCCTTTGAGCAGTATTCAATGTTTTCTGACCATGTTAGGTGTGGTCCAAGTGCTAGAAAGGGAGAAGGAAAGACATTGTCTCCAGAAAAATGGTTGAGAGCACAAGCCTCCTGGTCATTGATTAATCTTCAGGTACACAGTAGTGCAGGCTGAAAGCTTCCAGATCCCCAAGGAAATTATAGAGAAGTTACTTTGCAAACCCTGAAACAGATATTTTCACCAACTGCAAGTGACCAGGATTTAGCAGCTTTGAAATATGTAGCAGCTTTGAAATATGAGCAGCTGCAATATCCCTGTTGATTCTAGAGATCTGAGTTTTATTAAAATTATGCTTGTGTATCATACTAGATGGTCAAAATAGGGTGTTAGCATCAATTTTTCCTGCCATGAAAAATCCTGAGATAACTTTTAAGATGGGAGGGTTTCAAGTATATGCTACATGTCTACTGAAGCTACTCAATTAGTGTTACAAAACTACAAAGCACCTCTGGTGTCTTAGTTAACTTTCCTACTACTGCCACTACCTCAGCCAACAATCTCACAGCCTTCTTATGTCCCATAAGAAGCTTAGTAAGAGCTTTTATCCCCACTTAAGTTTGCTCCAGCAAATTAATGCCATGGTAACTAGGAACCACTTCCTAATTACTGGCCAAAATTTGAACAGAACTGGAACTCAACTAGCTGTGTTCTCAGCTACAATAATTTCCACTTTGTACTTGCCTAACCCAATGAGATAAAGCACACAAGTACATATGAAGCAAACTTCATCTTAAGTACACACATATATACAATTCTGTGATTTCTCTATGATTGAAGTTTGCTATATGTAACTGTGTTCTTTTCAGTTCAAGGCACCTTATACCCACAAGTAAAATAGCTGTCTCAGGCTACCTAGTGTTTAAATGTACACTCTAAATCTTTAAATTATTTTTTAGTTTCAATTTTACACACACATACACTTTTGCAAATGAAGGTTTCTTTCGCTCTTCAGTCTCATTGAAAACTTACCCTTTCATTCTTCTTCAAAATTTTTTAGTCACATCAGTCACCTGTTGGGCAATATCTGGACTTCAGGCTAGACCTCCGCCACTCAATACAAAACTCTTCCCTTCCAGCTACAGGAGTATCTACCAAGTAAACACAGGAAAAAATGCCTCCAATGCGAATTAGTCTGCAGAGGAGGCCAGCTTACTACTGTTCTATGCAAATATTTATTCATACAAGAACAGCAAAAGATTGGATGTCTAAAGCCAAGTACTATTAAAATAGATAATAAAGACTATAGTCTTCAGAGATATGCACAAAATCTGGCAAAGTGAAACAGGGAAACAAGGAAACAACAGTGGATGAGAGGCTGAGCATACCATGGTAAAGCCCCATCTACCCAACGGACTGGTCTCCATGCAGTTTTCAAAGGTGTGGCAAATAGGAAAGTGATGCTTTCCCAGACACAGAGGAACAAAACACAAAGCTCTGAAGCTCCAAGATGATATAGAGGACCTGCTTCCTACTCCCTGACTGTGAGACTGCACTAAAGAGGTTTCAGTTTCTGCTTAGTGCCTGGCGAGGATCAAAGTATTTATGTGGATTTGAGTCTTCAGTGCCATGCAACAGACTGGGACCGCAGTTCATTGAATGAAGGCATGGATACGGTCTCAGGAATACCTAGTGACACTGTCCCTGTTACAGAAGGAATGCAGAACTTGCCTTTGAATATAAAGGCAATTTCAAGGCAAGCAGTTAATGACAAAGTGTTCCTTAAGCCAAGGAACCCCTGCTCATAAAATGTGCAAAAGAAGGAACCTTCACAAAAGTCCAAACTCCTCAACACATTAGTCCATGGTATTCAACAAGTCATAGGACAGCAAAGTGCTCCCCTTCGAAAAACACCACCCACAGCAGTGTGAAATCTGATATTAGAAGGGTGAGGGGATGACAAGGTCCCTGCCACTGACCAGGTATGCCTAGAAAAAGAAACTCACTCTGGCCAGTATGAGATGTACATCTTTATCCTGGGGGGGTGACAAGCTCTGTTAGCCCCACACAGCAGACCAACAAACTGACAGATAGGGCAAGTTCCTGGAAAGCAGAGAGCAGGTGGTCTCAAACGGAAGGATGCATTTGAAAGGCTCCAGTGCAGGCAGTGAAAACAGCTCAGTGTCCATAGTCCTGCACCCTGTACCAGCGCCCTGCTCGCGGCTGGCATGCTGCAGTACGTGCTGATGTCAGCATGAACTGGCAGAGAGGGTTTACAAGGAGGCTTTTAGCTCAGAGTCAGAAACGGGGATCAGGAAAACAGAGAGGACAGGGACATTGCCTCTTTACAGATGACCCTCACTGCTTTCACTTCTCCTGAAATCCATATAGTCCACTCACACAAGCACTTCAAATTCCCCTGGATCCACAATTTTATGACCACTGTGTGAAGAATATAGTCATTTAACCAATATTTCTTCCTATGGTTTTCTGCTATGAGGAGTGCTGGAAAGGGAAATTACAAGTACTGTTTTAGAAACTTTCATTTCTATCAGGACATCCAGAACAGGAGAGAAATCTTGCACCCTTTTTAGTCCTTATGATTCATGAGACAGCACATATCCGGCCTCTGATCAGCCCAGGATTGAAGGTAGCCTAGTTTGCAGCACTGATTCTCAGCTTCACTTTCAGGGAAAATTGCAGATTTGCATGTGGGTGTTACAGATGGAAACATTTCTCCACCAGGTGGTTTTAATGAAAACTGGTGGCAGTTTTGTTGAGACTTTTGGATAATCAGAAAATCTTTTAACAAAGATAATAGGAAGGGGTAGTGATGATATCTGACTTTTATAATATAGCTGTGTCATCTGATAGCAACACTGTATTATTTGTAACAACTCATTATAAAATTATGGAAGTAAATTCTTGTCAAAATTCCAGTCTTAAAATAGTTACTCCATGGAAAGGTGTGTAAAAAAACTCTTATCCCAAAAAGAAAGTAAGTGCTCAACATACTGAAAAGGCAAATCATCTCAGAAAATCTAGTGGTTCTCTCTAAGAGTTGAAACATAATCCATAAGAAAAATATTTGCTGTGACTTGATTTTTACAAACTAACAATATAGCTAAAGCAAGTAGACAGGTTTGTAAGTTTTCCAATGTATTTTCCCTTAACTTCTGACTTTTTAAATAAAGACAGAAATCTATTTGAAATCACAATTTCTCAGGCCAATGGAGTAAGACTGTTATTCTCATTATTTGAAAGAACTTTTGTAAGGAAATAAACTTTGAAATTTGGGTATCACATACCGTTTAAGATAATATAAAGTAATTTCTAGTTGAATTCACAAAGCACCATGTTTGTCCTCTTCTAAAAATTACATTTGAAGTGTCCTAAGTTCATTTATTGAAACTGCTGAAGATCCCATAATCTCATAGAAAAGAAATATCAGTCCAGAATTCAGAAACACCAATGCAAAAGAAAAAAAAAAAAAAAAAAAAAAAAAAAAAAAAAAAAAAAAA